CTAATGAACTTCAAAAATAGTTATTGAAAAAAAATGGTTATATTTTTTTGAATACTTTTTTAAATGTGTTATAATAGACGTAGATTTTTTTCAATATTTTTTTTTGAAGGGTTTTTTTTAATATTTTTTTTAAAGTGTTTTGCAAGGCGCAGATTTAAAAAAAATGTTTTTTTTTTATAAAGTATCATTTTTGTTGAAGACTATTACAAGGCGTAGATTTTTAAAAATATCTTTTGAGAGACCATAATAGGCGTAGATTTTTAAAAATATCTTTTGAGAGACCCATAATAGGCGTAGTTTTTTAAAAAATCTTGTTTGATGAACTATTATTAGGCGTATCATTACTCACTTAGCTGGCATGTGACAGAACTTTCGTTCCATAACTACTTACTTACTTATCTGGCTTGTTACAGAACGGTTGTTCCATAAGCCGAGCTTAAAAAAGATTTCCAAGCGCGTCGGTCTTGTGCGCAAGTTTTCCAATTTGGAAAGACGTTCCAAGATGTTGTTTTCTACTTGGTCTTTCCATCTAATTCGTGTGAACCATCAGCTAGGCTCATTTTTATATGCCTTTTGAGCTGGGGCATCTTCATTCATCCGCACAACATGGCCTAACCACCGTAGTCGCTGCAGCTCAATACGACTGACTATGTCGATGTCCGCGTATAAATTGTAGAGCTCGTGGTTCATTCGACGCCGATATTCACCGTCGACGCAGAACGGCCCGTAGATCTTTCGGAGAATTTTTCTTTCAAACACCCAAAGAGCTGTCTCATCTGCTTGCGCAAGTACCTATGCTGCAGATCCATATAATAGCACGGGTAGTATCAGCGTCTTGTAGAGTGTGAGTTTGGTCTGGCGGGAGGTGGTCTTGTTTCTAAACTGCTTACTTAGAGCATGGCAGCATCTGTTGGCCATCAAACTCCTTCTCCGAATTTCAAAACAGATGTCATTCGTATGGTTTATGGCGGTACTTACTGTGGAACTTGAAAACTACAGCTTCGAGGTAGTAGCTGTAGTTTTCAAGTTCCACAGTTGGTCCGACGTCTTGCGCGTTGATACCATCAGCCAGACCCACTTTGGCAGACTCCTTCTTAATTTGTTCAAAGGTGGCTTTTACCGCTCTCAGTGTTCAACCCATTATGTCGATGTCATCGGCGTAGGTGAGTAACATGTGTTGTTTGGTGTACAGATTGCCATTTCTGTTCACTTTTGCCTCTCGTATGATCTTTTCCAGCAGGATGTTAAAAAGATCACATGACAAACTGTCACCTTGTCTGAATCCTCGTTCGGTATTGAATGGCTCTGATAGGTCCTTTCCGACTTAAACTGCTGATCTTGTACCAGTAAAAATTATTCTGCATATCCGTATTAATTTTGCAGGAATGCCAAATGCAGACATAGCTTTATACACCTCTAAATGGGTAGGGCTGTCGAATGCGGCTTTATAGTCGACGAATAGGTGGTATGTGTCGGTGTGTTTTTCTTGGGTCTTTTCAAGGATTTGTTAAAAATCTAGTCAATGGTGGATTTGCCAGGTCTCAAGTCGCATTGGTGTGGTCCAATAATGTCATTGACCATTGGCTTCAATCGTTCACACAGCACACTGGATATCACTTTATATGCGATGGGAAGAAGGCTAATTCCTCTATAGTTGGCACATATCGTCTTGTCCTCTTTTTTTTGTGCACGGGACACAGGATGCTGAGGTTCCAATCATTGGACATGTACTAATCACCTGGTGCATGCTCCTGACCAGTCTTGAATAGTTCGGCTGGTAAACCGTCGGCACCTGATGCTTTATTATTCTTCAGCCGATTGATTGCTATTCTGACCTCATCTTGGCTAGGTGGTATACACTCTATACCGTCATCTATTATTCTGGTTCTGGGTTCTGCTCCTTCCAGATCCTCAGCACGCTGTAATACAGTGTGTAATCGTCTGATTTACTTACGCCTGTCACTTTCCATCGCATTTCCTGCAAGGCAATAATATCGGCTTTGTACTTCGTGAGTACATCCACCAAAGCGAAAACTGCGATTGTTCTGTACAAGGTGCGCACATTCCAAGTGCAAATTCGCAGATCGTGGACCTTTATACGTTTGCGCGGGTTGTCTGCATTAAGGGGAGGTTGGTTTTCTTTTTCGTTGCTTTTTCATAGTAGGAGGGGTGTTCCGAGTGTGGCCAACTAACCCGACGCCTCAACCTATTTTTTATAGTTCTTATGGGTGAACTCGCGGCACATATCAGTTCACTATTTTCACGGGTGATGGAAATAGCTACCCCAGGTGACATCGCGGTGAGGTCAGTGTCCACAATTGAGATGAAAGAGGGGCCAAGATAAGCCTGGACTTCGCCATGTTAAAGCCAATCAGAGCCGTTGCTTGGTATCTATCATTCCCCACGCCACCCCGTGAACACCACTGTACGACCTAAAAATTCATGTTGCAGTTTTTTAAAAACAAATACAAATACCCCAGAATAGAAATGTGATAAAAAAAATTATTAGCGATAAACAAGCGGGTTACTCATATTTCCCATATCAGAATTTCAATTCATTTTATTGTAAAACAAAAACAAATGTAAACATGTTACCAAGATAAGAACGAATTCTGTATATAAAAGAAGGCTGGTCTTTGGGTCAATGATGGTGACATGTGAAAAAATAAATTCTTTTAATGATTAAGAAAAATATAATCAGAGCATAATTTGAAATAAATAATATTCATTGTGAGTATCTAAAAAAATATTATTGAAAAATCCACGCCTAAGGCCCTGATAATCCTTAAAAAATATTTATAAAATCCACGCCGAAGGCCTTGATAATCCTTTAAAATATATATGAAAAAATGCAAGCCTAAGGCCCTGATAATCCTTTAAAATATATTTGAAAAAATCCAAGCCTAAGGCCCTTTAAAATACATTTGAAAAAATCCAAGCCTAAGGCCCTGATAATCCTTTAAAATATATTTGAAAAAATCCAAGCCTAAGGCCCTGATTATCATTGAAACATATTATTTAAAAATCCACGCCTATGGCCCTTTAAAATACATTTGAAAAAATCCAAGCCTAAGGCCCTGATAATCCTTTAAAATATATTTGAAAAAATCCATGCCTAAGGCCCTGATTATCCTTGAAAAATATTATTTAAAAATCCACGCCTAAGGCCCTGAAAATCCCTCGAAAATATTCTTTAAAAAATCCACGCCTAAGGCCCTGAAAATCCCTCGAAAATATTCTTTAAAAAATCCACGCCTAAGGCCCTGAAAATCCCTCGAAAATATTCTTTAAAAAATCCACGCCTAAGGCCCTGATAATCCTTGAAAAATATTATTTAAAAAATCCACGCCTAAGGCCCTGATAATCCTTGAAAAATATTATTTAAAAAATCCACGCCTAAGGCCCTGATAATCCTTGAAAAATATTATTTAAAAAATCCACGCCTAAGGCCCTGATAATCCTTGAAAAATATTATTTAAAAATCCACGACTAAGGCCCTGATAATCCTTTAAAATATATTTGAAAAAATCCAAGCGTAAAACCCTGATAATCCTTGAAAAATATTTAAAAAAATCCACGCCTAAGGCACTGATAATCCTTTAAAATATATTTGAAAAAAATCCATGCCTATGGCCCTGATTATTCTTAAAAAATATTTAAGAAATCCTCGCCTAAGGTCCTCATAATCATTGTAAATTATTATTGAAAAAAAAAAAAATCCAAGCCCTAGGACCTGATTATCCTCTTTAAAAATCCACGCCCATGCCTCTGATAATCCTTCGAAAATTATTCCATAAAAAGTCCCCGCCTAAGGCCCTGATAATCTTCAAAAACATACTCTTTAGAAATCCACGCCTAAGGTCCTGATAATTTTTAGAAAAATATTCTTTAGAAATCCACGCCTAAGGTCCTGATAATTTTTAGAAATCCACGCCTAAGGTCCTGATAATTTTTAGAAAAATATTCTTTAAAAATCCACGCCTAAGACCATGACAATCCCTCGAAAATTATTATTTAAAAAAATCCACGCCTATGGCTCTGATAGTAGTCAAAAATAATCATTTAAAAAATCCACGCTTATTGTCCTGATTAGCCTCATAAAAATTATAAAATTTTTTATCATTTTATTACTTTTCAAAACCATAAAAATATTTCGGATTTATACACTTTTTCTATTGGCATAACTTCGTTTTAATTTTTGTTGTCCTAATCTTCTACGTCAAACACTTGACAATGTTTTATTTGCGTACCGAAAATGAACCTAATCGGTCAACATCAGAACTATAATCTTATCCCCCATTGAAATTTTTAAATTATAAAAGCAATTGAGAATTTTGTTATCAACCGAATATATTTACATATCAGTACTTAAAGTGGGTGGTAGCAGCTGCAGCAGAACATAACACTACAATGTTTAAAAATAATCCCAAGGGGTTCGGTTCAATAAAATATTATCTTGATTTTGATTAGACTACATACACTGGGTATTGTTTTTCTATGTGCATAATCTGTTGTTGCATTTCACTTTATATATTACCTACCGTATCGTATAGAGGGGGAAGAGAGATTAAAATTCTGGTAGTTATGGTGTTTTGCCATAAAACAGGACAAGGCTAAATTGTGGTCAGGTGATAGAGGTTAGAGGCAAATTTTTAGATGGCTTACTATAAATTAAAAAGAAAAATATCTATTTTTAAAAATTCACGCCTACTAATAGGCCATGAAAATACTATTTTTTAAAAATCCACGCCTATAAATAGGCCATGAAAAATGTTTAAAAAAAACTGAAAATATTTTTTTTAAACTCGATTTATATTTTTTTATTCCCTTTAAATAATCAAAAATTTATTTTTTCTTATTTTCAGATGCCCCAATAAGAATCAAATTTTTATTTGAACGAGTCAAATTAAGAGTTCCTTGCCAATATTCCAAGCAATTCAATTTCAAACTCACTGAAAGCTTTTTAAGTATTTCTTTCAACTGAGTACTGCTTCATCAACATGTGTTGCAATTGTTGCAGTGTCACCCAACGCAAGGCCTGGGTATATGGTTCGGGTACCATAACAGCTGCCCTGGGCATTTTACTACTTGTTATGTGGCCCAGCTGGTCGGAAACCCTCGTCAATAATGTAAGTAGTAGCATTTCTTTTTTATTTGATTTTTTATTTATTTATTTTTTGTTCTCTCTCCCCCTTAGAATCTAATCTTGGTCCCAGGCAGTGAAAGCTATGACAGTTGGATCGAAGCTCCCATACCCATTTATCTCAGTTTCTATATGTTCAATTGGACCAATCCCGAAGAAGTCAATAATCCCAATGTAAAGCCAAATTTTGTTGAATTGGGTCCCTATGTTTATTTAGAGAAGCATCACAAGGAGAATTTAACACATCACGACAATGGCACGGTGACCTACTATGAAAGGCGTACCTGGTATTTTGATGCGGAGAGGTCAAATGGCCGTGAGGATGATTTGATTACCACAGCGCATCCCATTACAGCTGTAAGATGATTTATTTTTATAATTTTTGAGAAATTCGAATAATTTTCTTTTTATTTCGTTTTTCCCCCAGACCGTTGCCGATGAAATGCGCCACTCTAACAAATTAATTAAAAAAGTCATCAATTTCATGTTGAATCGTGAGGGTGGCATGTTGTACACAACAAAAAAGGCTGGCGATTGGATATTCCACGGCTATGAGGATAGACTTATTGATTTCCTGAATCTTTTCAATACCTCCAAAATTAATATCCCCTATACGAAATTTGCCTGGTTGGCTGATCGTAATCAATCCTTGGATTATGATGGTTCATTTACCATTTACACGGGTGAAACAGACCTTTCGAAATTGGGCGAACTGACACATTGGAATAATAATAATGAAACTGGCTGGTATCCGGCACCATGTGGCACTGTGAATGGCACGACCGGAGATTCTTTCCCACCCCATCTAGATGTTAAGGAGGAGTTAACTCTCTTCGTTACGGACACTTGTCGTTTTATGAATCTAAAACCGAATGGTACAATTGAACGTTTTGGTCTAACGGCCACTGAATGGGTTGGCACCGAGGAGACTCTAGATTCGGGAGAGAATTTCCCCAATCAACAATGTTTCTGTGATCCCAAAATGGAGGTGTGTCCCAAAACGGGTGTGGTAGATTGTAAGAAATGTCGTGAAAATGCTCCCATCTATGCCTCATTCCCTCACTTCTATTTGGCCGATGAATCGTATAGAAATGCCATTACCGGTATGAATCCTGATTATGAGAAGCACAGATTCCGTGTTGCCGTCGAACCAACCACTGGTATTCCATTGCAAATTGATGGTCGTGTTCAAATTAATTTAATGATAACACGTGATAAAGATTATGAGTAAGTGGGGACATGGTGCAACGAATGTGAGGTGGTTTTTTAATTCATTTTTTTTATTTTACAGTATTTATCGCAATGTCAATGAATTCCTGATGCCCCTATTTTGGTTTGAACAATCCGCTCCATTGACAGAGGAATTTGCCAAAAAAGCTAAGGTAAGGAATTTAATTTTAAATCATGGCCACCTAAGCTTAGTGTGCATTTTTACAAGGATCATTTGAGGATATTTTTAAAGCGGATTTTCTAAAGTAAATCAAATAAATAAATAAAACTAATGAAAAAATGTTTCCATTTTTACAGCTCCTAATCAATTTGGAATCCTATGGTCGCTACCTTGGCATTGCCCTAACATGTTTGGGTGGTATTTTCTTCATCACCGGCATTACTTTGACATTGACAAAACGTTGGAAACGTTCGGCCAACGATGATGAGGATATGTTAACCAATTAAAAACAAAAAAATTAAATATCAATACATCTTTTGTTATTTTTAAAGATGATAATGTTGATATAATAGTATTTTTATCCCCCCTATTTTTAAGATTCTCATCGTTAGCATCTCATAAGTCAATATCAAAAACATTGCCTTTTTGTAAATATTTAGCTTTCTAAGTTCAATATCTCAATTATGGAATTGTGAAATTAAAAAAGAATCACTTAATCGATGCCTTATACTACTACACATCATATAATCATTTTTTAGTTATATTAAGTAAAAGGTTTTCTTTTTTTAATTATTATAATTATTATTATTGAAACAGAATCATTCACAAATACATATTATTTTTGTATTCATTCAAACTGTTTGTGATAGTATTTAGTCGTTATTAATTAATATTTGTAAATATTTAGTTAGTTATAACAAAACAATAAATAAGATAAACGATCAAAAAATAAATAAAAATTAAAAAAAAAAATTAAATAACAAATTAAGGATATTTTTTCGGGGATATGAAGATTTTTAAATTTATTATTTTATTTTATAAAGAAAATTTTGGGTAGCGTTATATAGGTGCTATATCAAAATGTGGACCGATATAGAAAATTTTCGATAGAAAGATGTTCTACCCTATCAGAACCACGAATACCAATCAGAACCAAGAATACATTCAATTCAGTCGATGAACATGTCTGAACTCCTCAAAATATCGAACATTTGGGAGCATTGTTATATGGGGACTATATCAAAATGTGGACCGATATTGATAATTTTCAGTAGCAAGATTTCCTACCCAGTGAGAACCCAAAATACTAAATTGCAGCCAAATCGGTTAAAAACGTATCTCAAAATACCGAAAATTAAGAGTAGCGTTATATGGAGGCTATACCAATATGTAAACCGATATTAATAATTTTTGGTGGGAAGATTTGTTATCCAATGAGAACCCAAAATACTAAATTATAGCCAATTCGGTTGAAAAACATGCTCAAAATCCCCAATATAGCGAAATTTTGTGGTAGCGTTATATGGGGGCTATTCGAAAATATGGACCGATATTGATAATATTCGGTAGGAAGTTTTGTCATCAAATGCGAACCTTAAATACCAAATTACAGACAATTCGTTTGAAAAACATGCTTAAAATCCCCAATATACCGAATAATGTGAGGTACAGTAATATGGGAGCTACCCTTAAAAGTTGACCAAAATTTATCATTTTTTGTAGGAAGATTTTTCATCCCATGAGAACCCATAATACCAAATTATAGCCAATTCGGTTGAAAAACACGCTCAAAATCCCCAATATAGCGAAATTTTGGAGGTACCCTTATATAGCAGCTATCCAGAAAAGTGGACCAATAATTATAATTTGCCATTAAATGAGAACCTTAAATACCAAATTACAGACAATTCGATTTAAAAATATGCTCAAAATCCCCAAAATACGGAATAATGAGAGGTACCCTACCCTAGAAAGTTGACCAAAACTGTTCATGTTTTGTAGAAAGATTTGTCATTCCATGAGAACCCAAAATACCAAATTACAGGCAATTCGGTTGAAAAACATGCTCAAAATCCCCAATATAGCGAAATTTTGGAGGTACCCTTATATAGGAGCTACCCTTAAAAGTGGACCAATAACTATAATTTTTGGTAGGAAGATTTGTCATCCAATGAGAACCCATAATACCAAATTATACCCAATTCGGTTGAAAAACATACTCAAAATCCCCAAAATACCGAATAATGGGAGATACCGTTGTATGGAAGCTACCCTAAAAAGTCATCCAATTTTAATCACTTTTGAGAACCCAAAATATAAAATTTCAGCCAATTCGCTTGAAAAACATGCTCAAACGCTCTACTTGTACTGAAGTTTATGAAGAAACCCATTATCATGGCTACTCTAAAAATAGGTCCAATATTACTACTTCACTTATCATGCCACACCTTCCTCTATATTATGCAAAAAAATCCGATCATTTATCTCTAAATTTGTTTACAAAATAGTTGTTCTCCTTTGATGCCAAAATTAACCCGCTCCGATTTTTAACTCCCACCTAAATGTGATACCTCCAAAAACTACACAATTTTCCCTAACCCGTAGTGAAAGTTTAATTTCAATACGTCCATTCATTACGGAGTTATAGCCATTTGAAATTTACCTTGTGTCAAAATATAGCGGCTACGTGATTCTGTTTGCCTAGTACCGCAAATTAGAAAACTGAAGAAATTGCAATTTGTCAAAACCAGAAAAAATCCAGTCAGCCGCGTTGCCAACTTACTTTGTACCATTCTATGGAAGTTTTCAAAAAATAGTGGCATAGTTTTAGGCACATCTTTTAAGTAGGAAAATCAAACGTATTGGTGCGATTAATGTAACGCCTAAAAATATGCTCAACAATTTCCATAATTCACATCAATTGCCACCAAACAAACGGGTTGGCAACGCAGCTGTCTGAGTTTTTCTGTTTTTTAACAACATGCAATTTCATCAGTTTTTTTTATTTGAGGTACTAGGGGAACAGAACCGTGTAGCTGCTATATTTTGACACAATGTAAATTTCAAATGCGTATAACTGAGTAATGAATGGACGTATTTGAATGAAACTTTCACTTCCGGTTAGGGGAAATTGTGTAGTTTTTTGATGTATAGCATTTAGGTGGCCATTGATAAATCTGAGCGGGTTTATTTTGACCTCAATGGGAAAAATGAATTTGTTAAACAATTTTTGAGATAAATTATCGGATTTTTGTTCATAATATAGAGGAAGGTGTGGCATGATAAGCCAAGATGCAATATTGGACCATTTTCTATGATAGCCTCCATATAAGGGTTCTTCTTAAATGTCGATACTTTTAGGGTGTTTGAGCAGGTTTTTCTACCGAGTTGGCTGTAATTTGGGTTCGCCTTGTGTGGAAAATCTTCTCACCAAAAATTATGAATTTTGGTCCAATTTTTAGGGTAGCTCCTATATAAGGGCACCTCAAAAATTTCGCTATCTTGGAGATTTTGAGCATGTTTTTCAATCGAATTGGCTATAATTTGGTATTTTGGGTTCTCATTGGGTGGAAAATCTTCCTACCAAAAATTATCAATTTTGGCCAAATTTTTAGGGTAGCTCCTATATAAGAGTACCTCCAGAATTTCGCTATATTGGGGATTTTGAGCATGTTTTTCAATCGAATTGGTTATAATTTGGTATTTTGGGTTCTCATGGGATGACAAATCTTCCTACCAAAAATTATCAAATTTGGTCAAATTTTCAGGGTAGATCCCATATAAGGGTATCTCTAAAATTTCGGTATTTTGGGGATTTTGAGCATGTTTTTCAACCGAATTGCCTGCAATTGGGTATTTTGGGTTCTCATGGGATGACAAATATTCCTACCAAAAATTATCAAATTTAGTCAAATTTTTAGGGTAGATCCTATATAAGGGTACCTCTAAAATTTCGGTATTTTTGGGATTTTGAGCATGTTTTTCAACCGAATTGGCTGTAATTTGGTATTATGGGTTCTCATAAGATGACAAATCTTTCTACTAAAAATTATTAATATTGGTTCACTTTTTAGGGTAGCTCATATATAAGAGTACCTCCAGAATTTCGCTATATTGGGGATTTTGAGCATGTTTTTCAACCGAATTGGTTGTAATTTGGTATTTTGGGTTCTCATTGGATGACAAATCTTCCTACCAAAAATTATTAATATTGGTCCACATTTTAGGGTAGCTCCCATATAACGGTACCTCACATTATTTTGTATTTTGGGGAGTTTGAGAATGTTTTCCATTCGAATTGGCTATAATTTGGTATTACGGGTTCTCATAGGGTGATTTTTTGTAAAATTTTTGTATATATAATTTCTTGACGAATTTAAGGGTCTCATCAAAAAAATACAATAATGAAATAAAACACTTTTATATTAAATTTTTATAAAATATATATAATTTGTTTTTATTTAAAACTTATATCAAAAATTGTTTTTATGACCTAAAACAGTTGGTTTTTTTAATTTTAATTGGGGTTTCCATTATTTTAAATATCGAAAAAAAACTTATAATAAATTTGTTTACAAATTTATTTTTTTAATTTTACTTTCTTTGTGAATATTATGTTTGTTGTTTTTTTTTTATTATTACAAAGTAAATTTGATAATGCATAGAACCTTTTTCCATTTGAAATGAATTAACAAATAACCCTTCTGAAGAAAAAATATCTAACGAATAGATTTTTTTATTTTCTTTTTTCACAACTAAAACATTTTTATAGTAACTTGTTTTTTTTTTAACTAAATAATTGTTTTTTGTGACTTATTGCTAAAAAATAAATTTGTTTTTTTTTTAATATTTTTAATTTTTTGTTACATAATTTTGCAAAGTAGTTTTTTCTATATAAAAATGTTTTCAATGGGAATGTTGTTTAAAGTTTCGTTTTTTTATTTTTTCTAAAATAAAAAAAAATATTTTTTCTTAATTTTCATAAAGCACAGGGGCTGAAAAAATTGTGGCTATGTAAGACCCACAAGCAGGATGCACTAATATCCTAATATATTAGGAAAAATAATATCTTGGATTGAAAAAAATTGAAAATTAATTTGCTTTAAATTGTAAAAAGTTAAAGAAAATTAATGCCTATTTTTAGGGTTGCTTGAAAAAAAAAAATTTAGGGTGGTGTTGAAAAATATAAAACCTAAAATTTAAAAAAATAATTTCGTATGAAATTATTAATTAAATCAAGACATATTTTAAGGTTTAATTTGTTAACAGAATTAAAAAAATAAATAATAGAAAAGAGTGAAAAAATTAAATAAAAAGGTAACCATAAATTAAAAAAAAATAAAAAAGATTAAAAATAAAGAAAAAAATAAATTACAGAAAAATTAAAAAAAGTTAAAAATTTTTAGGCTTAATTTTTTTTAGCAGAATTAAAAAAAGGAAAAAATTAGAAAAGAGGGAAAAAATTAAAAAAAAAAAAAAAAACCATAAAAAAAAAAAAACAAATAAAAAATTTTAATT